GCACAATGACATTTTGCAGATACAATCAGGCCAATAACTAATGTAGCATGATCCAGAAACAAATCTTGTAAAGACAGCAGGTTGCCAGGAGTCACCCAGATAACAACCAAAAAAGTAAGAAATGCCTGTGCCCTGCTGTGGCACAGAGATGATCCCACTCCATTGCTGTTAAATTGTGTAGCTTTTTCGAGCACAGTAAATTTGGGTTCCTTCAGCTTTTCTAAGACAACGCTAGCTCTGACAGCATTAAGGTCTTTTCCTGGTGCAAGTTCACTGGTGTCTGACCTCAAAATGCAATTACCTTTGGAGGAGTTCTAGGGTTTCTCTAATTCTGATGTTCTGTTTACACAAATTGATATAAACTTATGTTTAAGACACCTACTCTGCTGTCAAAGTTCTCCCACAAAGGCTTTCAAAGCCTCTTAGTCAGACTCTGTGTTTAAAAAATAATTCTGTCTTCAGCTTAATGTTTGCATCTTACTTAAAGTTTGCATCTAGCAGCTCTGTGCTGTACCTGCTTTGTGCCTCTAACCCTCGGTTCAATGATCAAGACCATCTGATGTTCATTTAGCTCAAACTTGGTCTGTTCTCTAGTCTCCACACTCAAATAGAAGTGCTGTAATCAATTTTCACAAGTCAAACACAGGCAACTATCAATACAGGGTAATCCCTGACAGTCTTCCTCTAGCACATTTTGTCAAGACCCTTTAAATCTGCTCTTATTTTATGAGGCAAGACCAGAAATTCAAGCAAGTGCTCTTTATTCTCCTGTTGCTAGCAAGGCTGTCACACCCTCACGTACACACAGGTACACACCCACACATGCTATTTAAAATTATAAGCTTTTCATTGATCCACTTCTTGGCAGAAGAGTACAAATGTGATTCACATAGCTGCGTTACTGTCCGTCTTGCTCAATGAAATATCAAGTCTTTAGAAGACTGTCATCTTGTCTGCTGGCAAGTGTGAGTTCCCAAGAACTCAGGGAAACAGGGAAAGAGTAACAAACTGCACTGAAAAGATGGAAAGAAATGAAGACCCTTCAGCAGTGGCAGCTTCCTGCACAACATGTAATTTAAGAAGCCTTAGTAATAAAGAGCAACACTACCCAAGCCAAAATGCTAGAGAACAAGTGGAAAGGTGGCTACAGAAGAAAACTAAAATATTAACAAAACCTACATTTTAGTTTTACAGCAGCATAGTCCCCACCACCTATCCATCTGTGCCTGCATCCCTAAAGGAGAGACAGTTCCTCCTGGAATTATTGAGATCATGTATTCCTCACACTGAGAGCATGTCAGTGGAAGAGAGGAAGGATTCACAAGATCATTTGATTAGAACAGACCTCAGGAGGGGTCCTCAGTCCAACCTCCTGTTCAAACCAGGGTTGCTACAAAGTCAGACCATGTTATTCAAAACTTAAGTCAAATCCTTGAGCTGGGTATCATACATCTTCCAAATTTTTTATCTGAAGATATCTCCTCTTCCAGAAACTGAATTTATGGAAACTGCATGAAGTGAAGTTTGAAAAGAAATCAACTTGACTGTAAATGCCCTGGAAAGTAAGAAGTTTGCTATGAAATACCAACCCTGAGCCTCAAGGGGGAGTTCATTACTCCAGATTTTAGGGATTGCTGTGTGTAGCTGATTGTATTTTTCTTGCTTTTATCATTAGGACAAAGATATAAAGTAGTTTCACAATATAGTGTGTTATGTGCATAATTAACATTCTCATTTCAGTTTGCATGTTATTGTTGTCCATCCTAACTTGGGTTCCTGTCACCACTATATTGCTGCTTATGCCATAAATTAGATCTCTAAGAGATTAATTGCATTTCCTAAGACATATCAAACACCTATATGATGTTATTGCTTTATTTTCCTTTGGAACATGAACCAGCTGTCTGATCCAATATTTCAAACCCTTAAGCTCTTAAACAGAAGCCACCCAGGTACTGAACATAAATTGCTTCTGCTGGAAGAAACTTCAAGAATGACGGACTGCTTGAGCAGCATTTATTTCCTTTCCATGTTAAGATATTTAGGTGTGCTCTCCTTTAATCTGACACCGATTTAACACAACAAAATATGATAAATATTGTGCAGATCAGAACAGAAGCCATACAATGATCATTATGGAGTCTTTCTGCCTCAGGTCCATAGCAGTAGAAACCCTTGAGCTTCCTGAAGATGTTGACACATAGCGATCTTTAACACACTGTTTTGCCAATTGTCAGGCCTAGCATAAAGGCTACAGCCAGCATAAAGATGAACCAATAACCAAATCGTATTTGACACAAAAGGGTCAGTACATGGGTGAGTGCTAGGGGTTCAAACAAGTCAATCAGGTTATACATAATCAACATCAATCCCAATGACCCCAACAACGACACTGCACAACCAACAATGGGTAGAATAAACAATTAAATACAGTCTCCCATAGAAAGGAGGGGAGACAAACAGTTCAACAAGCCAAATACATAAGACCAAATAAGCTACATAATGAATCCCTACACAGCCCACATTTACAAAAGCCAGACCTGAGTGGATCCCAGTTCCAGAGAGTCATGAGGTCCTGCCCCAACAGAAAACTCTACAAAATACACCCACCTCACAAAAACAAACTCCCCCCCTCCCTACACCTGGAACCTGCTTTTTATCCCCTAGGTGGGACAACTGACCTGTGTTTACTTAATGAGGGACACCTAGGGCTCGTTTACCTAATGGCTCTCCCTGCAAGGCCAGCTGCATCCTGGAGGGAAGCTTAAAGGTAAACTCAGACCCACTTTGTGAAGCGCTGTGGGAATCACCCAGATATCAACCGTAATTTGGAGCTTGGTGTTGAAACCACAGCATTTCACACACATATTGCTTGTAAGGTTTTCCTTTGACTCATCAGTCTATTCAAGAACCACAATGCCAGTGTAATCGAGTTATTCTGAGGCATGATTTAATGTCTTCAACACAAGTGTGCTCCCATACAAAATGTGAATGCATAAAGATTTAAGATTGCAAACAGTAGCAAGCCAACATTATTAAAAGTCAATCCTACGACTGGATCAGCACAGGCATGCAGACATGCCTGAGAAACTGTACTGATAGATTATTTTGGCTCTGTAGAGGCAGATACTAGGCTGAGATCTTTGAAGTTTTTCTATATTATAAAGCCTACAAAAATAGGAAAAACATCACAAGGTTTGGATTGCTGTGTGCTGAGACTTCAGCTTACCATGCTGATCAATACTGTCTCCTTACTGTGTGTACTTTCCTTTTATGTCAAAACTGCACACAGAATGGAGATGACAAACATGACTTGTCTGTGCGTCTTTACTAATCATAACAGATTTTATTAACTTACCCAGCACTATGAAGCATTTGTTTTGGCTTTTCCTGTACAGGCCAGTCATGTCACTGAATTGTCTTATCAAGTTCAGGCTTTCAAGCTAAGAAAACAATAACCATTGCATTAGGCAAAGGCATCTTTATGAAGCATCAAGAGATCTTGGAGCAATTTGCTTCCAGATTTGGTAGCTCGGGCTTTTACCTCACACCAATAATGTTCTGAGCTTTGCATATAGAATTATGTACCATGAAAAGCAGCATCAAAAAAGGAAGAAGCTGTGGGAATTGATGCCAATAGAAGAAGACAGCATGAGAGCACAAATTTGGAAAAAAAGTCAATGAACTTTAGAATAACAAATTCTAATATAAGATGTCTCTTCCATCAATTAACATTTTCTACTCATATGTGTGTCAGATTGAAGTATTTGAAAGAAAACACTGGACCCAAGTACACACCTTTAAGTACAGGTATGTTTTCCAACCTCATCCACCTTCAGAAATGGATGTTATCTCAATCATATATAGCAGAGTCTAAGGTATTTAAGCACACTTCAGTGAACAGTGGCAGTGAGCTTTTTTAAATTCTGGATTCAAGTCTTAGATATCGCCATTATGGAAACATTAACAATTTATATCCCGCAGATCCACCATGAAGGGACAACAGTTTCACTGCCTTCCCATGTCCCTCACTTGATCCCAGTCAACATGAATGGTGCAGACAAGGGTTTTGCAAGGGATGGTGGCAAGTTACACTAGAGAAAAAACACATGGCAAAATTACATATAGCTTTCCACTGACTGATTTGAAGGTGCAGTGTGTAGCACACTCTGAAAGCACCAGCTGTAGAGTACATAACACTTGACACTGGGAGACATTTGGAAGCCAAACACAGAATAGTGAAAGAGAAACTTTAAGGATTTTTCATCCAAGAAAATTTGAAGCCTTAGAGGAAAGAATTAACTGGATTTGATTACTCAAACTGGCAATGACAATACAGAGGCACTTCAGCCTTCTTATTTGGCATCTCTTTGGCAATCATGTAGCCTTACAAAAGACAGTGTTGATAGTCAACTTCAAGATGCAGAGAGCCATAAGCAACAGCATGCAGTCTATTGTCCCACTGTGCCATCTGGCACTGGGTTAATGTGTCTCTCAGTGACTGCTTTCACACTCCTGACAAGCTATTACTCAGCTATATAGCAGATAGGTCAATTGTAGTCTGCTTTGATTTGTAAGCTGTCTACCCAGAAGTTACCATTTTTTAAAGTTATATTCTGACATTTTTCAAATGCTTTAGACTTCAAATGCTTTAGAATACAAATTTTGCCACAGGAAGATCTAATAGAAAAGTGTGTATGAAACGCCATAGATACAGCAGTAGCTTATGAAGAACCTCACACAAACTAACTTTTACTCCTAAATCCATATGATTACATCATTTCACGCACATTATCAATGGCTCGATAGCAACATTTCTGCCTACAGCTGAAATGAAGAAATCCACTCAACAGTCAGAACCCAATATAACTGTTAAGCAGGTATTCTTTATTAGCAGCGCTGGGGTCGCCCTGGGGATTCTCCTCCATAAGGGCTCCTTCGAACTAGAAAGTTTACATACACACAAATCACACATATTCATTACATTTCCTGGAAAGGGGTGTCTTATGATAATGAATTCCTGAAATTCATTTACACAGTCCGAGCATGCATAGTAAAAATAGAGTGAGGGACTTCGGTGGTCGAGGGAAGAAGAACATGGTCTTCTTCACAGTGTCTGCTCTTTCCAGAGCATGGCTGTGAGGTTAAGTCCAGGTGTCTTCTTCCTAAATGGGTGAGATCATGCTCCCTAGATTGTATCTCTGTGTCTTTTTGTTCAAGTTCCCCCTTACCTTAGTTTGCCCAAGTGCCCATTGAAGGCTGCTATCAGTGAGTTATATATCTAGGAAGCATTTTACTTTTGTCTAGACAAAGAGGCCTAGAGAAAACTGTTGAGGATTCCTTGGGAAACAAACACAAGCAAAAATTTCATGCATCGCAGTTTAGTCTTAATCAGAAATTCATTGGTTTAAGCTCGTTCACAGCCTTGTTAAGCAAACTGTCCATGTACTGGTTGTTCTTGCAGTCCAGATGGACTCCATCAGCAATTCTGAATGTGAACCTTTCAGAAGACAACTTCTCTTCACCCACACACAAAGGTGCAGTAATGTTGATTTCTATTTGATAACAATCAACATTACAGTTCAACCTAGTCAAACTTTAATTTTCCATCAAACCTAAGCAAATCATAACTGTATTCAAGGCTCACACCCTACAGTATAGACTGAATGTTCTAATTATGGATCCACAAAACTCCCAGTGATGTGAATGGCAGTCTAGCAAGCAGATGACTCGTTGCACAGATGGATTAATAGACTTAAGAAGTTGCTATTTGTGAATGTTCACAGGAATTAGAAAGTAATTGTGAGGAAAAAAAAAGAATCAAAACTAAAAGATAGTAAAATGTACTTTATTCACAAATAGTATGACAAAGCAGGGATAAATAATTTTTGGTAGTTTATTTTATCTTTTTACATATTCCCATGTTTTATCTAATCTTATGGATTAAAGGAACCAATGAACTAAATTTATTGACAGTTCTACCAGCATTATAAAAAAAAACCAAGATCACCACCCAGTATAACCCCCAACATGGGAGGCTTAAGAGCTCCTCTCATGCCTCCTTGTGAACTTTTCAACATGTTATACTGAATGTGAAACTTTTCAACATTATTATCTTGAATAAGTAATCTTTGATAAAGTATTAAAAAAAATAAGTGCAAATAAAATTAAAATCTTCAAAAATTACTCTGCAGAACAGAAGATCACAGAACATTAAAGAAGCTAATAAACAATATAAACTGCTGCTGCTGCTGCTCCACTTTTTTCCTCTAGGAAGGATTAGTAGTCTACCCAGCCTGTATCTTTAGCAATTATTTCCACACAGGAGTGCAGTATTGATTTCTCTAAAGCACACAGAGGACCAGGAGTGCTTTAGCATCATCTGAAAGAAAAGCCTCAAAAAAAGCAGTGGCTGCTGAAGAACATTTACTTCATTTATTTAAAAAACCCCAAAAACAACAAAAAAACCCAAACACACACCCCCCAACAAACCAAACCAAAATGCACCAACAAAGAACCCCAAATTGCCAGACCCATAAGTTTGCAAGTAAGACTTTCCCTAGCTGCTACGTTACATTCATTTTATCATATAAAATGTCAGTCAATAACCCATATTTCCTTGTTATTAGTAATAAATATGGACTTACAATCCATTAAAGCTAATGAATCTGTCTTGGGTTCTTGAAGCTTACAACTGTTATAACTAAATAACAGTGGCTTTAATACAGGGTTACACAAGGGCAGACTTTGACCTTTTGATATCTGTATGTTCCCAATGATGTAATGTACAAAAATAGAAGACAGAAAGCATTTATTTCTTTTTGTATCAAGTGGGATTCTCTTCAAGCAGCAGATCAATGATTGTCAAGGTTTAGTTAGAATGCTATCAGACCGTTAGACAAATGGTATCACTCACAGGAATTTATTTTTTTTTTTTCTGTATGCAGTAAACCTGCTCAGCTATGACCTCTTTGGCAGAGAGGATTCCTTTTCTGGGCTAAGAGAAGATTAAACACAATAGGCCAGACTGTAACACAAGGTTAGCTACTTTGTGGCACTAAGAATATAGTGTGAAACCTTCCTACCATAAGACAGATACATTATCAACTTTGAAGGTTGTTTTAAACACATCAGTGCTGTCTACAAAATAGCAGGTCATTTTGATTATTTTGTCTATCTGCAATATAGAACATTACTTAAAAAACAAAACTAAAACAATGTAAGTTCCTATCCAGTGATAGTATGCTCTGCAAACAATACCTCAACACATTCCTTACGGAAGTTGTGTCACGGGTTTCCACAGTAAAAACAAAAGCAAATCTATGATAAACGCTGAATGTAAAGAATTTGGTTAATTCCCTCCTGGCCTATTGCTTGTTACTTGGTTAAAGAGATTCATCACCAGTTCTCTACAACCTCTTTTCAGGGAGTTGTAGAGGGTGATAAGGTCTCCCCTCAGCCTCCTCCAGCCTAAACACCCCCAGTTCCCTCAGCCACTCCTCATAAGACTTGCACCAGCTTTGTTGCCCTTCTCTGGAGTTATTCGAGTCATTCAATGTCCTTTTTGTAGTGAGGGGCCCAAAACTGAACCCAGGAATCGAGGTGAAGCCTCACCAGTGCCGAGTACAGGGGTCAGATCCCTTCCCTGTCCCCGCTGGCCACGCTATTGCTGACACAAGCCAGGATGCCATTGGCCGCCTTGGCCACCTGGGCACACTGCTGGCTCCTGTTCAGCCGGCTGTCAATAAACCCCCCCAGGTCCCTCTCTGACTGGCAGCTCTCCAGCCACTCCTCCCCAAGCCTGTCGTGCTGCTGGGGGTTGTTGTGGCCCAAGGGCAGCCCCTGGCATTTGGCCTCACTGAAACTCCTCCAGTTGGGCTCAGCCCATGGCTCCAGCCTGGCCAGATCTCTCTGCAGAGCCTCCGTACCCTCGAGCAGATCAACACTCCCCCCAACTTGGGGTCATCTGCAAACTGACTGAGGGTGCACTTGATCCCCTCCTCTAGATCATCAATAAAGATGTTAAAACAGGAGTGGCCCCAAAACCGAGCCCTAGGGGACACCACTCGTGACCAGCCGCCAGCTGGATTTAACTCCGTTCACCACAACTCTTTGGGCCCAGTCGTCCAGCCAGTTTTTTACTCAGCAAAGCGTGTTCCCATCCAAGCCACAAGCAGCCAGTTTCACCAGGAGAATGCTGTGGGAAATGGTGTCAAAAGCCTTATTAAAGTCAAGGTAGACAACATCCACAGCCTTTCCCTCATCCAAAAAGCAGGTCACCCCAAGATCAGGTTTGTCAGGCAGGACATGCCTCTCATAAACCCATGCTGACTGGGCCTGATCATCTGGCTGTCCTGCATGTGTTGTACAGTGGTATTCAGGATGAGCTGCTCCATCAGCTTCCTGGGCACCAAAGTCAAGCTGACAGGCCTGTAATTTCCTGGATCATCCTTCCAACGCTTCTTATAGATGGGCGTCACATTGGCCAATTTCCAATCAGTCAGGACCTCCCTGGTCAGCCAGGACTGCTGGTAAATGATAGAAAGCAGTTTGGCAAGCACACCAGCCAGCTCCTTCAGCATTCTCGGGTGTATCCCATCCGGTCCCATAGACTTGTGTGTGATGCAGCAGGTCACTATCTCCTCCTGGAATGCGGGGAGGGGGGGAGGGTCATTCTCCCAGTCTCTTCTGGCTGAGGAGGCTGGATTCCCTCAGTACAACTAGTCTCGCTATTAAAGACTGAGGCAAAGAAGGCACTAAGCACCTCAGCCTTTTCCTCATCACTCATTGCAATGTTTCCTGCATCTAGCAGGGGATGGAAGCTCTTCCTGGTCTTTCTTTTGATGTTGATGTACTTACAGAAACATTTCTTGTTATCCTTGATTGCTGAAGCCAGATTGATTTCTAACTGGGCTTTAGACTTCCTGATTTTCACCTGCATAGCCTCACAGTATCTTTGTAATCATTGGGAGTGGCCAGCCCCTTCTTCCAAAGGCCATAAACCCTCCTTTTCTCCCTGAGTTGCAGCCAAAGCTCCCTGTTCAGGGAATCTTTATACAATTCATACAAGAGGTAAGTAACTCTCTGGATATAAAGTGAGCAACTAAGCTATGAATTACAGCAAGCTTATAATTAAGAAGAGCTGGAAATCCTTAACCACTACTCTGCACCCAGTCATTAATGCAGCCAGTTACATACTGCAGTCATTAACATACCCATAAATTGTTTACCTAGCTACTGTTATACAGCAATTCTGTATTTAAAATGTGATTCCAATTCAATTGGATTGGAATTACCATATGTTTTATATGTGAATGCTACAGTAATGGCAGAAATAACAATAAAATCTGCTCAAAAAGTCATGATAATTTAGAGAATAACTTATTTAAGAGAATAATTACATACAATTTCAGTGTTCAAGGAAACCTTGCAGGTTCTGTGCATCCTTCCCAACAGAACACAGCAGCTCTTTTGTTACAACACACCACTGAGACAGAATAAAGAAATCTGACAGCAGTGCAGGCTCATGCCAAGTTCCATAATGAACAAATGATGACCAAGGAAAAAAAGAACCTTAGATCTTGGCTCCAGCCTGACTAAAGACAGCATTCTCTACAAAAATAACAAACCTACTTCAATAGTTTGAGAGTGCCAATGTCAAGACTGATATAGTGATCTGCAAGATTTCTATTTTTACTATAAAAAATTGTGCTTGTGTGGATCAACAAAATCCTTTATGGTAGGCCTCTCATGTAAAGTTTTGTCCCCTTATAACCAATATAGAAGACTACAAACATGTTGTTTGAATTTATATCAAATCCCTCTCAAATTATAGCTTCTTAATTACTGAAAAATTGCATGTGTTTCTGTACTGAACTGCTTACCCATCCTGTGCTTTGTTTTCTGCAGGGTATCTAACTCCAGAGCTTCAGATTTCATATCTCCCGTGTGCTTGGAATAACATTTGATGCATTCTTTTGGGATGGTGAAAACTCCTTTATATTGCTGAAATGTGATATATTTTTTTCTTTAGAATCAGCAGAACACACTTTTCTTTTAAACCTACTTCAGAACTAAAGAATAATGTGTTATTATACACTTTTAGCTAAAGATAAACTGTGAAACAATACTATACTTCCCTAAGAGGAAAAAAGCAACTGCTATCAGCCTAGGAAAGAAAGGTTTTGCTTTTACTTGCTTTATTCTTGCTTTCCTACCTAAAGCAAAATGAAAATAGAAAGAGGATAGGAAGACAGATTAATTTTGTAAATTTTTCCTGTTACAGCTAGCCTTTCTTCATCACAGACAAGACAGCTGAGACTAATCAAGGGTCTAAATGAAGTAACATGGGCATCCTACCATATTAAGACTTTAAAACATAAGTCTACAGTAATTTCAGAGTATTTTTTTCTTATTAGTAGATATTGAAGTTGGATGCATCTTTAAATGTGGTTAAAAAGCATATTCTATATGATTATCATCAAGTTCCCTTCCCAATGATGGTGTACAGTAAAAACCACCAAAAAATGGAAAACTTTGGTTTTTACACATACTGGGAAAAAAAAAAAGAAGGGATGGGTGCTTTTTTATTACAATGCAAATTCATAATGCAGTATGGCGTGCTTTCTTAAATACATTTAAACCCCCTGTATGTAGTCTGCTCACGTTCCTACTTCTTTTCCTCAGGTACTCAATAATCTGAAAATACCTGTTGTGCTCTAGTCCTGTTCTTCCAGAAACCTCTCCTAATCTCTCTTCTGTTTACAGGCTAATTACATGTGAACAAATAGCCTAGAACACCACATGCTGTAATAAACAGCAAGATGCTGCCCCAGGCCTCAAGTTTCATTTTGTTCCTTCTCAAAAATAGACATGTAGTTCCCCTTTTTCATTTCTTTACATTATTTTCAAACCACCAAACTAACACAAATTAGTTTTTAAAGTCTTATCCCCTCCTGTTCTTAATAATTCAGTGGGAACACTATCAGCACCTGGTGCTTTATTGTTCCTGGGTGTTCTGGTCACCTCTTGGTTCTACAAATAGCTCAGCTGGCTGGAAAATTGCTGTTTGTTTCCCTTTATCCATTTCACCATTAAAGAGATCATTAAAATACTCCGTCCATCTTTCTGTAATTGCATTCTTTGTAACTAAGATTTCCATCTTTGTCCTTTATCTGACTCACACACAGTTCACGTCCTTGTCTCAAATGCTGATATCCCAGTGAAACAGTCTGGAGTTATCTTTGTGCACTGCCACTTCAAGCACACAGAGACATTTTTGGTTACCTTTTTGTTGAATCATTTGCATTACCAGAAGACTTACGGAAGTCACAAAATCCTCACCACATACTGCTTTCCTATACTCCCCATCAAAACCTGTTTATTTTATTCCTTGGAGTTCTTTCTATTGTTTTCTCCTTCTCTTTCCTTTATTCCAAATGTTTCCCAGCTGGCATAAAACTGTTGCACAATGTTCAAGCATGTTCCCACCTGTCTCCTTGGTGTTCAGGTCTGTCAGAGGCAAGCGTTACACTTATAACTGCTCTCTTCATTAAAAGAAAGCAGTCATTTTTATAAAACAGTAAGATATGTCTGAAGCATCTACCTTTAGCAGATTTTTTCACTGATAGTTTTGAAGTATCATGCAATTTCTGGTAATTTCCACATACTCATTGCAAATCATACATATGTTAACTTTAGTAGATTTTTAACCATCTTTTCTAGGACATGGACTGGCAGGCAGAACTGTATATGCATCACAATTACCTAAAAGAACATTATAAAGTTTACTCAGATTTTGTAGTTCGCTTTGAAAGATATTGTAGAAACCCCATGTATTATTGTTTTCAGTCTCCTGACTCCAGATGAATAAAGAACTGTCCAAGGAAGTTTCTAGATTCCTCCTTCAGTAAGTTTGCATGGTAGCAGGTGTTTCTAAATGCTGACACAAGCTACCCATCTCTTTTCCAGTGCTCGTGCATGGCTTTTCTCCCGTCCCGCCCCACCGGCAGCACGGAGCTTCGCCCCGCCGCGCCGCGTTTTTCTTGGCTTTCGCCCTCGGGCCGCTAAAGCCGATAGCGAATCTGCCCACCGCCGGAAGCCCGCAGCCTCTGCCCCGCCAGCGGAAGCGGAAGGGTCGCCATTTTGTTTCGGGTGATGGCGACTGTAGTGCTCTGGAGCTGGGGAGTTTAGTGCGGGCCCGGCCTTCTGGGGGGACTCGCTTCTCGGACAGTCGTTGTTACTGCGAGTTGCCTCCTCCTCGCTGCATCCCCTGGTGATGTACGGAGGGGTCGGAGGTTCTCGACGGACTGCAGAAGAAGCAGGCCCGCCGCCCCTAATGTTGTTGTCAGGCGGGGGAGCGGTCCCCGGGCCCCCCGGAGGAGGTGGAGGAGGAGGTGGAGGTGGGAATAGCCGTGTGGAGCTGCTGGTGTTCGGCTATGCCTGCAAGCTGTTTCGAGATGATGAGAAGGCTCAGTACCAGGAGCAGGGGCGACACCTTATTCCTTGGATGGGAGACCCCAAGATCATGATCGATAGGTCGGTGTAACACAACCCCCAGACTCTGCTGCGAGATCTCCTGTTATAGCCTCTTTCTGTTCCTCCCCTTATGCTGTGGGCAAGTGAGGGCGGGGGATGAACAAAAGGCTCACTGGCAGAGGTGTGGGGATCTTCTTCACTGGCAGAGTCGGAGGGCAGCTCCTCCTGGTAGAGTGCTTCGAGTGCTGCTGTTGTAACGCTGCAGGGCCGTCCCCCCGGCAGCGGGAACGTGGGGTTCCCCGCTCTGGCAGTGCTGGGAGGTTCCCCTCCTGACACTCGGTGTGCCTCGGGTCTGTATGCTCCACTTGTTAGGGTAGGGTTTACAGGGTGGAGTGGAGAGTGGGAATGATCTGTTCTTTTTCAATGCAAACCACAAACATCATCTTTTCTCACTTGGAAACCAAGGGAGCCTTATTGCATGGGAATGCTTCTTAGGCACTTTATATATTCTCTAAGCGAGAAGGCTGCAGTGTGGGGAGTGGAAAGGTATTTATCCACCTATGGGGAAATGGGGTTTTCTTATTTCTCCTGCATAATCTGGCTGCAGGCTGTTGGTGGGATAACCCCAAAGGCAGCTCTTGGCCTAATTTCTTTTTCCTTGTGCTATGATTCACTGTATTAGGCAGAATGGCTTTGATTTTGGATGCTTACTTTTCAAATTCTGTCAGGGGTGGGTTTTTTTGGTTGTTTTGCAGTAGGTACAGGTTCATGGCCAGAGAGAGTAATAGAATCTGCTTTGATGTTTCTTCTGGTCTCAGAAGTTGTTTCAGCAGTGCAGGGTGGGATTTAGAAATAAATTCATTCAGAATGAATTTTCTGAATATTTTCCTGGAGAGAGTTAAAATGGGAGGTCAGGCTGGATATATTTGAGTGGAGCACTGAAAGTACAATTTAAGAGTTGTGGCTGACCCTGAAAACCTCAGGGGGAAAGATGGAAGGATTTTGGTTTGAAAAGGATCACATGGCATACTGTAGATATTTGTTCCCTCAATTTCATCATTGCTTTGGTGCTATACATGATTTTTCTTGATTTAACAACCCTATTTGGCTTGGAAAAATATCAATAAGGGAACATCTTTTAATTTCCTTCCATAAGACTGGATAAATTAATTTGTTAAATTGGAATAAACATGCAGATATTAAAAATCAGCCATAAATGTAGCTATGTTTAATTCTTACTTCCATAGGAATAGAAGTGTTATACACACTTCTGGTCCAGATCACTTTTGTGACATTTCATTAGTAAGTAGAGGCCATTTTTGTGGTCTTGTGCAACAGTAACCCTATTTATAGGCGTTACAGAAATTGTTGGGAGCAAAACCTAAGTATGTGCATGTATATACATATAATACTGGAAAAATCTTAATAACATACATTTGTAAGTTAAGGTAGCTTGCATTTACTAATCTTATAAACTCCTTTGGAAGTTTAGATTCTTTTTATCTCCAGCAGCAGGAAGTCTTCATTTTCACCATTTTAAGAAAAGCACATTGCTATGAGAAGACATGGGTTGAAGTTTGCCTGTGGACAGAGCTTGATTAACCAGACCTACATGTTATATTAACTTTCTGCTATAAGAATATTTACTTTCCTTGTTTTTGGTCTAGCAAGTTGGCACAAGTCAAGAGTTGTGTGTGGGAAGACACCTCAGCGGAGTCGAGTTTACTGTCACTTTACTTTTCAATCAGTTTCTCTTACTGATGCATAAACATTATCCCAATGCAGTGCTTTTCCTGCAAATAAAATTATTTTTGCTTAGTAGAAAGGAACTGTACGTCATTGATCTTTGCCGTTTTTACGGTGAACCTCCTTAAATTGCATGTATATGTTACTGTTCCTATGTATGTGTGTCTCTCTATCACATAACCCAGAACTTATTTCCTCAGCCAAATGGCTAGGGGCCGAGCCTAGCCATGATTTTACCTCCAATGGACGCAAGTTTCTATGGTGAAGATATCTCCTGAGAGTTCGGGACTAGCAGAAAGAAGCGAGGAAATTTCGACCGTTTGGTTCTTACGGATAGGTATTTATGTATTCGGGTTTGTGTGAATGTAAGCTATTTGACTTTCCAGAAAAACTTATTTTGCAAGTGACATTGATTGGTTGGTTGAAGCACGTACGGTAAGAGCTGTTAAGGAAATGGATCCCACTTAAACTATTAGAGGATACCTTTGCCTTTAATTGTAATAATTTATTAGTTTCTTTGAGAGGAATTTAGACTATTAAACAAATTTTCGATAGTTGGTGACAAATGATTAGCAAAATTAAACTTAACTTCTAAAAGGAAATGTGCTTTAACGTATAAGTATTTTTTTTTTCATTTTTAATGGGTAAGTATTTAAGTAGTCGCATAAACCCAAGCCCTAAGTTTTTTGCATTGACCAGCTGTTTCATCTTGCAGGTATGATGGGCGTGGTCACCTACATGACCTTTCTGAATATGATGCTGAATATTCCACGTGGAACAGAGATTATCAATTGTCTGAAGAGGAAGCTAGAATAGAAGCCCTCTGTGATGAAGAGAGGTATTTAGCCTTGCATACGGACTTGCTTGAGGAGGAGGCGAGGCAAGGTATTGCTCAAGGAAACTTCCTGAGTTTAGCACATGTTTAAATAAATAATTATGAAATTAAATTTACTCCTAATTTTATACTCTTTTTCTGATGTTATCTTGACAGTACCCAGTGGATTCGAAAAACGGGAGTCTTTGCGTATGTGAGAGGACCTCAGGATAGTTTAAATATAGATCCACACAGAAATTGCCCAGATTCTGAGGGCAGGCTGGGATTTCAGACCCAAAAAACCCCAAATAAACACATTCTGCTACATTTTCAGTGTTGTATAAATGCAATTCTGTGCTCTTGTATACATAATTACATTACAGTGTTTTAACCCGCAGCCTTTATCTCTTCAGGAAGAAATAAACAGCATATGTACATGCTGTGTTTTTCTGTTCAGTTTTTAATGAAAGCTAAAATGATTATGTGAAACCTTCTCATTTAAAAAAATGAAGTAAGAAATACTACTTTTTTTTTTACTAAAGTAAGAAATACTATTTTTTTTTTTTAAGAAATAAGCTTTTAAATATATTCTAATGATTGGTAATTGCATTTCTATTCAAGAGGAGGAATATAAAAGACTGAGTGAAGCTTTGGCAGAGGATGGTACCTATAATGCAGTGGGATTCCGTTATGGCAGTGATTATTATGACCCTTCAGAACCCACTGAGGAGGAGGAGCATCAGCCTGCTAAACAAAGAGGTAAGGGGTAAAAATAGCAAGGGTTAATTGAGATGAAGAACATGGTACCTGTGTATGTCTCACTAAGGTTGAAAATGTATGTTTCATTTAAAATGCAAGTAAAAAAATAAAACATTTCAAAAAAGTTTTTATGGAACTGTGTTACTGATGTGCTGCTTAATGTTTTCCTTCTGTGGCGCAGTCAGTACTACAGTAGTCGGGATAAATTTAATTCTGCTGTCTTGGAGATTCTTGTTCAGAAAAAAATAGTAATTCATCACATGGCGGTCTTTTGACACCATGTTTCTTGATCAAGAAGGAAAAGATCATTATGAACATAGAGTAGTAATTAATGAGAATATGTATATTTTTAAGTTTAGATTTTGTCATCTTAATTATTACAAATGAGTCTGTCTTCAACATAGTGTGCCCCTCTCTGTGATCTTAAAAAAAAAAAATTGTGTTCCTGTCTTTAATTTCGATAACTTTGCATTTTTAACATGAAGTCTTAAGTAAACTTTCAAATGTTATTGAACTCTGTCTCAGTAAAGTTGGGATTGCTTAATTAACAGTTGGGTTGTCCAACTATGTACTGATGGGTTACTGTTGTATGACGTGCTTTCTTTACCAAGGTGTGTCTGGAATCCAGGATCATTCTAGGTGCTAAAGCTTTTTTTTAGTGTTTTTTGCTGCTGTGTCTGAGAGGTTGTGTCAGGGCAGTGTCAATGGTGCTTGCATTCTACCAGTGATTTTGCCTGTACTACTCAGTATTGATGCTGAACTGAGTTGTCTTTTCTGAGGTTCATTTCATTTATATTCCAATTTGTCTGGTAGATTCTGTAACCAGATAGTTTCTAAGTTCTCTTTACATACAGTTTTTAAGTACTTCTTGTCAAAGGGCTGTTTTGTCATATTGTGTGGATCTGGGGTAGGGATAAGCCTACTGAAAAATTAGAGGTGATAGAGAAGAATGTGTTTGTAGTTTGGCTCCCTCATCTTTCTCTACTGCATAGAGATTAAAAAAGGTGAGTGCTCTCTCTGTATTAGTCACTAAAAAGGCAATCTGCCGAACGTTATAGGATGTCCATACTGGACGAGGCCCTATCAAAACTGCATGAAATGTGCCATAATGTTACAGAATCTACCTTTGATCAAGTGTGTAAGGAATAAATAAAAATTCCAGTTTCATTTGGTAAGAGATCTGTCGTGAGTTCAAGTTGTGTCTGGGTTTCTTTCCTAAATTGGTATCTAGAATAAAGTATTTCAGCCTTAATGAAGTAATATTTTTAGGAATAATGCTAAAATGTGACTACTTAGTCATTGGCAAAGAGAGATATAACTACCCAGTCTTTAAAGAAGTTAATATTTAGCTAATTAATATTTGATACATCGTTGAAGTGTCATGCTAAGCTATTACAAAATCTTGCAGTGTAATGTGAGAATTCTCAGTACTGCTGCTGAGTAGAGGTCCTCATAGCAGGTTATTGGAACATTGTCTCCGTTGTGAGCTTTCTTACCAAAGTAAGAAAGCTCACAACTTATCTTCTAGAAAATTTTTAGTAATGATAGGTAACAAAGGGGTTTTCTGGTAACACTTGGGGGAAAAAGTACTTAGGGCAAAAGTGAGACAGGAACATTGGTAATATTTTGCTGTAGTTGAACTGTACAGACTTTTAATAGATGGTAATATGGTGACAATTTCCAATAATACCATACTATAAATTCTTAAAACGTTCATTTATTATTAGTCATAGTAGAGTAAAATCCAGTATTGGAAGATGCAGATAACAGTAACGTGAATTAAAGGCTGTAGTTCTGTGAACACAGTGTTAGCTGGAGCTGCTGCCAAAAGAAGCAGTCCTATTCTGCTTCTTCCTTCTTTCCTGGATGCTAAAATTTCTGTGTGCCTTTGTGGAGTTAAACTATTTGAGTTCATTTAAAAAAACCTCAACCCACCAGACAGCAACAAAAAAGTTAACTCTCTTGCATGAGTAAGAGCTTGTATGCAGTAATTGCTCTGACATCTCATGCATGATTAGGCTGTTCTCCTGTCTGTGGCCATAGTTCCCATAGTCAGGTTTTCATGCAGTTTGTGCTGTCTCATTCATTAGGATAAAACTAGAATACATTTTCTCTTAAAGCTAGTAGAATAAATAATACTCAAATAGATAAGACTTCAAAAAGTAAACTTTCCACTTCAATTATTATAAATATTTGTAAAGGAAAATATTTTCAGAGGAACGTTTCTGGTATACCAAATAACAGAATGTAATACAAATTTGCCTTTATGAAAGAACAACTATTTTAAATGAGTAGTTTGTGTGATAAATATGTTAAATATTTGGATATGTTTAAACTTGATATAAAAGGAACCATACCAACTTCAGACTGAACTCAGAGATGAATGGCAATGTTTATTTTAATCAATTATTGATGCAACTACTGGTTTATCCTTGTGTGTGATGGAAGTGGATTTTAGCCTACCTATTCTGTTCCTGTACAACTTTCCTTAGGGTTAGGAAGCTGATTTACTTAGGTTTGTTTGCATAGGCTGAAATGGTCAATTAACGGGAACAGAATTCAGATAGAGCAGATGTATGCATCTTAACAGCTTTACAGATATTGGATAGCTGTAATATTTTAATCATTGTTAGGAAAGGATTCACCCAGTGCATTGAAAATTGTTCCCCTTATTTTTGAATGGGGTTTCCTGTAAAAACAAAGAGTAATATTCATGAAAATATTTGTTTTCTATTTGATTTGACACTTGTTTGTCTTCAGCACTGTAGCCAGGATGAAGGTTTATAAGGTTTTATTCTTCCTAATATCTCTGTTAAGACATAATTTATGCACTCTTAGCTAAACTACATGTAACACCGGGGAGAGGAACTATCTTTAAATCTTTTCGGTGCAAATGCTGGTTATGGTTTCATTTGGTAAATTCCATGAATGCACATTATGTAAGATATACTTTATTTTACTTTTTGTTAACATTTGGGTACTTTGACATGCTTTGTCCTATAGTATTTTATTCTGTCACTTCTTGTAGAAACAGCTCAGACAGAAAATGTAGAAGAAAATGAAGAACCTTTTGTTGCCCCTCCGGGACTGAACGTACCTTCTGATGTGGAACTGGTATGTGTATACATTTAAGGCATCCTACATTTCTGTCAATTTTCAAGAAGTTTATGGTGCTTTACTGTTTTGTTTTTTCCCCCATTAACTTTAGTGCAGTATCTTTTAAAATTATTCTGGAGTGGTAGCTTAATTCTTTCTTGAGTTTTTGAATTCTGTCAACTCTCTTGACTCTTCTTTTTCACACTGAAATTATTGCCAGTGCTTATGATAAGTGCATTTTGTTTCATTTGTGATATTATTGTAGATAGTGCAGAAAAAAGGGCAGTTGTTCTTGGAATGGATACTTGCTGAGATGTCAGGGCTGACATTCCAAATATCAAGGACCATTAAACCAAAAGATTGCTTCTGTTCAAGATTTTTTTTTCTGGATTCTTTTTAATGGAGTCCCAATCTGAAGAGGGTAGGAAGAGATCAAATCTAAAGGTTGTGTTTAAGACTAGCCTATTCAAGGAGAAAAGCAACAGTTTATTTGTAGCAAATTCTGAAATAACTTGAAAGTGATAGCATATAGAAGCTCTTTCCTTCATGTGGTGTTACCAGAATTCGCTACATAGTAAACTTAATTGCAATTTGTGTATTTTTCCAGTTTGAGTAAAGTTGCAACCATGAGGATTTTCAATTTATTTCAAGTTTCTTAAAAAATCTGGGAAGTCAGATAATATTCTTTCTCCTATATCATAGAATCATAGAACGGTTTGGATTGGAAGGGACCTGAAAGATCATCTGGTTCCAACCCTCTAGTGGACACCTTCCACTAGCCCAGGTTGCCCAAAGCCCCGTCCAACCTGGCCTGGAACACTGCCAGGGAGGGGGCAGCCACAGCTTCTCTGGGCAACCTGTGCCAGGGCCTCACCACCCGCACAGGGAAGAATTCCTTCCTTAGATCTAATCTAAATCTGCCCTTTGTCAGTTTAAAACAGTTACTCTTCATCCTATCCCTACACCCGTGATAGAGTCCCTCCCCAGCTTTCCTGTAGTCACCCTTTAAGTACTGGAAGGCTGCTAGAAGGTCTCTCCAGAGCCTTCTCCACCCAGCCTGTGTTTGTGCTTGGGATTGCCCTGACCCACATGCAGGATCTTGTACTTGGTCTTGTTGGGGAACTTGCTGAGAGTGCACTTGATCCCACTGTCCGTGTCACCAACAAAGATGTCAAACAGCACCAGCCCCAACACCCACCCCTGAAGACACCACTCGTCACTGCTCTCCACCTGGACATCCCACAACTCTTTGAGTGTGACCATCCAGCCAATTCCTGATCCACTGAGTGATCCATCTGTCACATCCATGTCTCCACAATTTAAAGACAAGGGTGTCATACGGGACAGTGTCGTGAAGGTGTTAATTTATATTTGGGCTGCCTTCTCAACTTGATAACCTTGGCTAGTAAAGATTCAAAGCACTCTGTGAGAATAACTAATGATGAACACAGGGTATTTATGTGAAAGTGTTTTTCTACTTCATTACCTTTTAATTGAAAATTTTTATTCTGCTCTGTTTTTTATATGAAATAAGAGCTATTTAACAAATCTAATATGCAACTTCACTTGTTCTAATTTTACTTTCTCTACTTTTCTTTACAGTCTTATATTTCATTAGTGAAGTGCTTACAAACCTACTTCTGACTTCAGGGAAGATTTTTATACATTATTGCCTTTAAATTATGAGTTATACTTTAGTCTGAGAATAAGAATATTGAGTTCTCAGTGAGAAGCTGCTTATTTAGCATTTGGATGCTGTTTCCAAAAAGTAACTGCTGGTAAAAGAATGCTTGCCATTTTAGATCGCTGCTTCGCTTGAATTTTATTCTGAAACGTAGGATACATTTTACATGCAAGTTTCAGATTGCAGTATCGGGCTTACTGAAGTAATTTATCAGTCATCTATAGAACTCTAGTATATTCAAATTAACAGAAAGCAAATGTTGGCGTATTTGCTTTTGATTTAAAAAAAAGTGCAAAATGTCTAGACAGCAGCTCTGAAAACAATGTATATTTGACATTGGATTGGGAATTGTGAGAACTTTTTTTTGTAAGCCTTGATTATTTGTTATTGTTGTTCTAATCAAGTCACTCGGTTTTACCACTGAATGTTTTTATTCTGTATATTTTAATTCAATTGCTGTGAAGGATAGAAGACTGGTAAATTACTGATGGGGTTTTACAGGCATTTTTAAAAAATACTGCTTACTCTACATTGTTCCTGTTTTTAAAGAGAGGGAGATAAATACTTGCCATTATGTCAATCCACAAGTGATTGGGAAAGGTCTACAGCTATATTGCTGATTTGTAGAAATGTTCTGGGTCTTTCCTGAATTTATGCTAATTAACATTCAAGTTAAAAGACATGGCACTTGTAGATGGTTATGGTGGGGGGAGGACACTTGTAAACTTTGAATCATTTTGGGGAGGAAACTGTAGTGCTTGGAAATAAGATAAAATTTGAGAATCAGCTTGCTAACTTGGAGACTTTGTTCAGAATCTGCAAGGTGCAGTTCAATAAAGACAAATGTAAAATAGGTTCTGTAATACAGAGCAATCCAAAGTGCAGATGTTAAATACAGACTAAGTAGTTAGGCAGCATTAGTGCAAAAGAGATCCAGAGGCTGTAGTGGGCTGTTGAATGTTCAGTGTATGGCAGCTCCAACTGCAGCAGCAATGTCATTCTGGAACTTCAAATAGGAGAGTTGGGCTAAGGTTGCAGGAGGTCTTGCATTACTTAAAGCTGTTGGTGTCAGGCTTATGGGCAAATGTGACTTTTCTTGCCTGTTGAAGTGCATGGTTGCTCTGGAAGTAGGCAGCTCAAGAGGAAATTATCAGTTAAACTTACAAGGAGAGACTGCACATTGCTTTGTTTTCTCCAGATGAGAGTACTGAGAGGCAACAGAAGACTTAAAATTATTTTCCAGGCTTACAAAAGATTGGGGGATATTGCTTAACTAGCAGTAAGGGAGACTCATTCATTAAAAGCTTTTAATTACAATAATAATTAAAGATTGGAACAGAATATCTGACTACATGATAGCGTTTATGGCATTGGAGTGTTTTTCAGAAGGATTTTTTCTCAGCTCTGCCAAGTATTCTCAACCTTCAGGAGTTTTAACAGTTCTCAGTTTAAATGTTTAGTGTTTTTATTAAATGTAATACCAAACTAGAACATATCTATGGTAGCTGCATCTCTGCTATTTAATGTTTTTCACTTTATAAAGTTTCTAAAGTTTTGTAGATCAGTGGTGTTAGTAATCTCAGAAGTCAATTAAAAGCATATTAATATTCATAGTGCCTGTATTCCAGAGCTTATAGTGGTATCAGTTTCAAATTCAAGACCAGATAGTAATTTCAGATAAAATAGTTTTTGAGCTTCCTTGCTGATTTGCAGCTTTGTTTATGAGTCTCTCAGCCTTAAGTGTATTTTGTATTTCTGTTAAGAACTGCAGAAATAGAGAAACTTCATGTATGATTAAACAGTGAAACTGGCAATGCACAAAATGTTATCAGCTTGTTGAGAACTTCATTGCCTCTAATTAAAATAATCTTTAGTAGTGTTTTAGAGGGATAAGTAAAACTTGACACAACTAATTATTTTCCATATTGAACATGTTGTTCTGGTAAAAGATCCAATCGGCTGAAAATAATTTCTAAAAATGTGCTGTTTGATCACATTCAGAATTTTTCCATAAATAGAGCACCACTGTCTCTCATGTGCTTCCAATCTTCTGAAAAAGATTTTCTGAGATTCACAACATACTTCTGTATCTAGACCAATAAAAATGCAAAGCTAAAACAAATCATTAATGTGACACTTCATTTTATATAGGCACACAGAATATGTATTTCTACAGTTTATTGAGCACAAGACAAAACAGAGCTATCTGAGTATGAAATTAAAGACAGTGAATGGTGAAGTTCATTCCTTCTTTAACTATATTCTTGTTCTTTTCACCTCTTGGGTTTGATATGGCAGTGCTCTTTAGATGGGATTTCAGGAGTGGAAATATATGGATGCTACTTAATGACTTAAATGACTTTATGGGAATGTGACAGCACATAGCAATTGCAGTTCTTATGTGGGTCTTAAGGTGCAAACGTGTGCCTTCCAAGCAAGTGCATAGTAACAAGTTTTTCTAGTCAGGGAACAATATTTGCACATTCAGTGATAACAAAATAAAGGACAGCTGTTGGGAAGAAAACCTTACATGTTGAGTCTTCAGAGTGCTTTGAGGTATTGTAAGAGAGGGCCACTTTAAGTTGGCACTGCTGTGTCAAGAAACAGACCTGTCTGCTCTCTTGGGCCAGCAGAAGTGTCTGTCTGGCTGTGGCATGTACCTGGCTTAGGAGAATATTCTGCTACATCAAAGTCAACCAGGATTTGTTTCCCTCTTCAGTTTGGTGTGCAATGGCAAAAATAGTTGCGCTATTATGAAACTGATTATGAAACTGAATTGCTAGAGAAAGCTGAGGGACAGGAAACTACGGCTCTTTCTAATTCCCTCGACTTCTAACACACTTTACCATCTGCTTATGAGAATACAAATATGTTATTTTATTCCCACAGCCACCAACAGCAAAAATGCATGCGATTATAGAACGAACTGCAAACTTTGTCTGCAAGCAGGGAGCACAGTTTGAGATCATGCTAAAAGCCAAGCAAGCACGCAACTCCCAGTTTGACTTCTTGCGATTTGATCACTACCTCAATCCCTACTACAAATTCATTCAGAAGGCTATGAAAGAGGGAAGATACGCTGCTCCTTCTGAAAATAAAGCGGATGAGAAAAAACGTAAGTTGTTGTTTGTCAAATGCATAGCTTCAGGATGTGAATCACTGAAACATCCACTGGTCTTTTGGCAAAATAGCTGCATCTTGTTGGTGTGTTGCAATGGCAATACTGTTATCCTGCAGCTGAGATTGATGTGATGATTCAAAATTTAGCTTAAATTGGAGGAGATTTTTAAAAGAAAAGATTGTTTTGTGAAATTTTGAAATACAAGAGATGCTATGATCTTGGAGCTTTTAGGAATACTTAAATACCTCTGGTCCGATGGAAAGTTGTTCTGTGTGCTTAGGTTTTTGTTTTATTGATGGCTAGCAATGTCTCCCTGTATCCATGTTTTTGTGAATAAGCAGATATACGTAAATGATAGTTAAAGAACACATATATATCCTGTACCATCTTTCTCTCCCAATACAAACCCAAATTAAATTCAGACATTGCTTTTATTTAGACTCAAGAGTCAAATCTGAGGAAGAAGATGATGACGACGATGATGATGATGGAAATTATCTGCATCCGAGTCTCTTTGCATCTAAAAAATGCAGTAGGCTTGAAGAACTCATGAAGGTAATTGACCTTATTAAAATTACTTGCTACTTTGTAAACCATCAGATTCGTGGGCACAAAAATTGTAATATGCAGGTGTTAAGATCTTCTGTTAACAAAGATTTTTTTTTTTTTTTTTTTTTTTTTCCCCCCCTTTAAGTCTGTTTTGGTAAGCTTTCAAGCTACCTTTTTCTCTAGTACATAAGTTGTTATTTTTCCATTTGTAAGGAATTGTATCTTTGCTTTTGATGTCCTGTGGTATGGAAGGCATCACTGAAGGATTTATCCCACATAACCTGAATTGAAACTGGAAAGATTAAGATATTTAATACCTTCTGTATATAAGATAAAAAAGGATGTTTTGGTTTTAGATTTTAATAGATAAAATGTTGACATGAAGTAATAGTTTCAGCAAATAATATTTCAACAGAATGTACTACTTGTTTAATGAAAATTTTGCAGGGTATGTTAGTTATTTTTGTTTTCTGAGTATGATCAGTGACAAAACAATGGGAATGAGAAATGGTTGTACACATTTGAGGCTTTCAGAAGAATGGTAGTGTCTGATACTTAGACAAGTCAGGTTCTGTGTTTTATCCCAGCCTCAGCAGTAAATGAGTAAGAGTAATACCCACTCTTTTTTTTAATGTCATGGATTTCTGTTCACATTAAAGTATTTTTAGTTTTGTTTTCCACTGATTTTCAAAAAATAAGTTGATTCTGATGTGAGAGTTACAAAACCAGTAACTTCATTGTTTGGACAATATTACTGATACTTATTAACGTAGATAAATTTGCTTTCCAAATTAGGTTGATATTACCATGATTTAAATATGTGCTTCAGGTTTTAATTTTTTTTCTATTCTTAAAATCTTTTCAGCCTTTGAAGGTAGTAGATCCTGATCATCCACTTGCAGCACTGGTGCGCAAAGCCCAATCAGATAATAACTCATCTACACCACAGTCAACAGATGGGGCAGCTGTACAGACATCACAAGCAGAATATTCATCTGATTGTAAGTGCATTGTGATTAGACAGCTGGTGGTGTGTCTTGATGAATTGTATGTGGATGCTGGTGGAAAGAAAATACGTTAGCTTCATACTTGATCATTCGTAACTGATACTTATTCTTTTTCAATCTCCTGAGTCTTTGAAGGTGCATTCGTCCACCGAGTATCTGTTGAATTGTTAGTTTCTTAGGGAAAACAGAAATAGGGTGGAGGGGATGGGCGGGCAGGAGGCCAAGTCTCTAGTCTGAGTATGATTAGCACAATATCCTTCATGTTTTTTGATAAATTCCATCAATTTCTATTAATGAAGCGTAATTAATGCCTTCACTGTTGATTAGTAAATTGTCCTATACAGTAATTCATGAGATTCCCATTAAAAAAAAGCTTACTGTATTAAGCGAAATGCAGATGGTAAATTTTCTTTGAACAGTTGTGCTGGAGTATTTTTAAGAAAAATATGGAAAACTAAAATCATGTAAATTGAAGAATCCCACTGAAGTGATAAAAATGGTTTTAAGATAATATTCTGCTCTAAGTTTGGAAGTAGTTTTATGGTAAATAAATAAGTTTTTTTATTATACAGTCAATTCATATAATTTTTCATTATTTTACCGTTATTCTGTGCACTGGTGCAATGTTATGTAGAGAATAAAATTCATGAATATGCAAGATTCAAAGTTAAAAATTAATCTTATAAAGTGTATTTTTCATTATCTGAGAGGGAGTACTAATTTTTAAGTTTGTAGCTACAGAGGGCATTCTTTAATAAAGAATACCCTATTTTATTTTTTTCTCAAAAGAACAACAAAAGCAATGATATATTTGAATTATAAGCAAGCAGTGTGGAAAGTTGTGTGCTCAGCTGCTTTTTCCATGCCTGATATTGAAGAACCAAGACTTTCTCCTATCTCCAAATTATTATTAAATCTTTTTCTTGAACCATTTCAGACTGTCCTGTCTATAACCCTTTTAAGACCTATCTATAACCTCTTTTAAGAATAAACTTTGCTATTAAATTTTTAGCAACATTATCTTAACTTCTCTGACGTGGCTTGTTTCCAGAAGTTGAAGTCAAAGTTGATTGGGGTCGTGTGCCTCTAATTATTTTCAATTTTCAGAATTCTGAAACCCCTTGATTCCTCTAAATACTGAAAGGAAACTTTTTCATTTATGGGACTTGCCATTTGATACTACTGAGATAGAAGAAATTATATTGCAACATTCACTATAGTAGGGTTTCATGGTATTATAAATTGTAGGTAATGAGTAGTGTTACTTCAGGGTGGTGGTAGTGATGAAGTTCTTGGATTTTTAGTAAAGTTGTTGCAAATAAGTATCACCATAATTATCTGAGTTCAGAAAACCCCAAAGGATTACAGGTGTTGTCAGAGTGTAATATATGGAGAGGAATATGCATGAAAGTAATTTTTATTTAAAACTGTACCTGAAGAGAATCTTAATAAAACTGAAATAAGATTTCTGTGGAGAAATTGAAAATTACCAGTTATTTCAAGAAAGACTAGAATCAGAATAAGTATCTCTGTAGAATAATGCTCATTGCTTTTCCAACTACTCTCATGTCTGGCTTGAATCTGAATGTATGTGATGCAAACTGGGAGATTATAATTTAGTAACGATACAAGTTAAGTTTGCAACTTCACTCCCTGCCTTTGAAACTTAACAGATCTTTATTCTGCTCTCCTTAATAAACTTATTCTTTGAAGAAAGTAAACACTGCCACACAGGAATGTTTATGAAATTTTTAAAACGATAATTCATTATAATAAATTGATTAAAATTTGCCTCCAGAAATGTAAACTCTTACTGTAAATATTTTAAAATATCTTACCTGAACACTTTCTGTTTATTTGTCTTTCTGCAGAAATTGTTTAGATTTACAGGAAGTAACTGCCTTTTAAAAGTGTTATGCTAATTAAAGTATTATCAAATATTGTTCTTAACGAAAACAAGCCATAAGCCTTTAAACTGTCAAGAAATAAACATTTAGAATTGTAGAAGCCTCTAGTGTGACAAACTTACTTACATTGTTCATTGTATTGGTGTTAAATTGCAAAACCTGTCTACTTTTTGGGGTTTCAGTTAGTAGGTGTGTATATATTTAACTATAATAGTGGGGTTTTTTTTATTTAGAGAGAGAGAGAGAGAGAGAGAGTGAGAGAGAGTGATATCAGTGGTTTAATTTCTCTGTGTTAGTTTTGAATATATGCACACTTCTTTCTTAATGCATACATAGTTTTAACTGAGTTAAACTGCCAGAGGTGAATTAGATTAGGAAGAATGATTTCATATTAGGTCATTTTTTAATAGGCCTTTTCTGGTTCACTTCTCCATTTGTGCCTGTTTGGCTTCCAACTGACCTTCTGTACATTCTGATTCTGCCTCTTAATCTACAGATTTCTATTCATCCTAAGCACGTTAATAGGAGCCTTCTTTTTTTTCTTTACACAGTAAATTAAATACCATTTCTAGTGTTTTATGTGAATTTGGATTCTCAATGTGTTTGTACTGATGCAATAATGTTTTTTTTTAATTGGATGTTTTTCTTCTGATTAGAACTTTGTTCTTAAATATGTCTTTTTTTAGCAACTGTGGCAGCCATGTATTATAGTTACTATATGCTACCTGATGGAACCTATTGCCTCGCGCCTCCACCTCCAGGAATTGATGTTGCCACCTACTACAATGCGTTGCCTGCAGGGGTGACTGTATCAAGCACTACAGGGGTAGCAACAGTTCCTCCACCCCCTGGTACTACACCTCCACCTCCCCCAGACACAACTGATAGCAGCAGTGCGTTGACTTCTACCACAACATCTACAAGGTACCACATATACATTTGCTTGTTCATTGAGGGGGTCTCTTTCCTGCACTTTAATACAAAGTATTTAGTAAGGGTTCTGTTGTTGGTGATCCTCAGTAGCATTCACCAGTGTTTATGCAGCTTTGATTACCTCCACTTTGGTCTTTGATACTGTATGTGGTTATTCTTACTTGGCTACTGTGAATTTTTTGCATGATGGAAAATCAAGTTGTTTTAACTGCAGAATGAACCCAGAGAGCAAACTTCTAATGTAATGTTTTGGGGTGTTTTTTTATTAAAACAGGAGTCTGAAAGATATGTATGTTCTAATCATAAAAATGATGTATTTTTAATGTTTTCAGCACAATTGCTCCAGTGGTTGCCATTATACCTCCACCCCCCGATATCCAGCCTGTTATTGATAAGCTAGCTGAGTATGTTGCTAGGAATGGAATAAAATTTGAAACCAGCGTTCGTGCAAAGAATGATCTCAGGTAAGACAAAACGTTATTTTAACTTCTGTTTTAAAAGTTGAGGTTTTCATTTTTAAATATATAACCAGGACATGTAGGTCTTTAAAAAATTATAGCTTTTCTTTTCTTAAGTTGAAATTCAGGGACTGTCTTAAAGGTAATGCCAAAGCATTATTGCCCAAATCCTCAAAACAGCCAACCTAACAAAACATCTTTAGAAAGCATGCTTTGAATGTGTATCCTCTGTAAGTTTAGACATCAGTTACAGTGCTTCCAAACATCAAATGGTGTTCCATTTGCTAGAGAAAATTAGGTGACAAAGGATTGTTGGTATTTACTACATTTTTGTGCATTTTCACATATTCATTTTTCTTTTAACAGATTTGAGTTCCTGCAACCATGGCACCAGTATAATGCTTATTATGAATTTAAAAAACAGTTCTTCCTTCAAAAAGAGAGCAGTGACAGCTGTCAGGTACATGTGTGTTTGTGTACATTAAAAATATAAGTGTGAGGAGGGTACTTGCTTATCTGTTGTGTTACCATGAGACATTTTAGGAATGGAACACTGAATTATGGTTGTTCAGCAAAGGATGTGAATGCGCTTTTTTGTTGCTTTTTAGTTTTGTATAGCATTTAAAGAAGGCTATGTGAAGTGGTGTGATATTTAGTTCTTGCTTTTTAGTATAACCAGCCACTTGGTGTGGTTTTAATATAAAATGACAACCTGAAAATCTTTCAGCTTTATATATGTGCTTTTTGAAGGTTCAGAGCTTTGTAGGACTTGGGTTAGTGTTCTGCTGTCAGAAAGGTTAGGTATAACTTTTTAACAACCATACCTTCTCATATGCCTCATGGTTCTTTGTAGAACAATAGCACAGTAGCTAGACTACTTTTCTGACGTGCTTTTTTCTGAGGGAGGTTGTTCTAAAGAAGAGTCCTGTCATGATTGACTGAAACAATACAGGAGCTTCAAAATCTCACATCAGCTTCCTACTTGCTTTGCTTCTCCTAGTTCGTGTTATTAGAAGATGATACCCAGACTTGGCATCCTTGTTTTTAACTATTCTCATGTTAGCTAATCTCATTATTTGTTCTCGTATTGAAAAGAAAATTGCAAATAGTATCAGAAATACATTATCTGATGTTAACTTTTCATGGGAAAGAGCTATTTTTTTTTTAGGCCCTATGTCATTTGTCATCTCAAGGCTTAGATTGGGGAGCCTTAAACTGAAGAAGGTAGGCCTGTGGGTAAACTCCTCAAAATCGCTTTGTGGAAAATGAAGAAATTCAATACTAGTTGCTGTTTGAAACACTTGTGTCTAATACTTTGTTTTAATAGTTTTAAACATAAGCTGTGGTAAATATGATCTTATTCAGCTGATAAATTACATGCAAAATTGTCCTGTACCACAATGCTGGCTATTATTCTAGAATTTCTTACTTGCAAACCAGTGGGTTGAATTCATAATACTTACATAATTAATAAGGACTTGTTAACATTTATTTGGGGGGGAAATTGTACAGTAGCCAAAGTGTAATAATAAAGGATACATTTTAAGTGTTCGAATGAGTACTGCTAAGAAGCAAGCAAAAACTGGTTTAAGTCCCTTGAGGTCACATGTAGCAGTGCATATTTTCCTACTGCATGGTTTTGTAGATAATGCCATTCTCTTTAATTTTTTAGAATAATGATTTCAATATTATCTTTATGCTTTAGTAATGTACATATAGGGAACTAATGCAACTGATTGTTCTCCTTTTGGCCATTATAGTTAATAAGAAATTGTACTACTGGCTTCAGTAAATACAGAATTAAGTCCTTGATTTCCTTGTGTTTTTCCCCTTTGAGAATTTTCAGAAATTAGTTCTGTTGGTCAGGGAATGGCTGCAGGGAGCAATGAAAGGATCTCTTCAATACCTGGTATTTCAACATTAAGTATACTTAACAGCAGCCAGTGGAAAACAACCAAACTATTTCTTGAGAGAGGCTAATTTAAATGTTAAATTACTTAATGTCATCACCTGACTCACCATGTACATATTTTTAATTTTCTACAGTATACAGCTTCAAATTTTTATACTGTAAGTTTAGAGGTGTAGAACCAGTAATTCTTTATTCTTTTGAAAATCTCCCAAGAGTGTGCTGTATCAATTTAATGCCACAAAAACCATTGATAGGCCCAATGTTCTTCAGCAGAATGTTGGAACAAATCAAGCACATTAACCTCTGATCCCTGTAAAACTTGGTTTTATAAAGAAGGTATCGTGCAATTGTACATTAGGAAAAATCTCATAAGCTTTTATTCTGTTACTGTGAATTAACTTTAATGGATTTTTGTCCCAGACCCTGGAAATCAAGAACTAATAAAATATACTTGGGGAAAAAAGTATATGCTTTTAGGGTCTAATTTTAAAAATGTAGTTTTTAAAACAGTTGTTGGCAGAAGCATACCAGCTGAAGAACATTTTCTTCACTGTAAAATAACACATTCTTGCTGTAGGTCTGTAGTTTTTGCAGCTTGTGGATTTAAATAAGGTAGTACATTATTTATAAGAAGCAGACTTCTGGTCATGAGTGCTTATTAATGTAAAATTATCTGTTATGTGATTAGCTGATTTTTGAAATGGCTGGCAAAATTTCAGCTCCACAGACACTGCTTTAATTCTTTCATGAGCTACCTAGTTATTAAGATTGCACGTTTCTTTTGAAAAGGGAGTATCTTCATCTGAAGATGTTCCAGCAGATACTGCCAGTGATACACCAAGCGAGACTCAATTTGCAGATGAACATGCACCTGAAGATGCATCTGAGCCAAGTGCTAAGGGAGTTCCAGGAACTAAAAAGGATGTTCCTCCTTCTAAAACTGTCAGTGATGGTAAATTGGTGAAAGGTATGTTCGCATGATTTGTTGGGTGTGAAGATATTTGTTGAGTATAGTTGAGGAAAAAAAAGAGGCAGGGGGAAAGTAGGGAAAAGAATGTAATCATGCAGAAAATATTTTCACTAAAAGCATCAAAAAAGGACTGAAATAAGTAATTTGATTACTTTCATATTTCTTTGTTATCCAACTATCAGGCATTTATGGTCTGACAGTCTAAATGGGTTTATTTCAGTTTTGTGCAAAGTTAAAGGCTTTCATCAGTGACCTCAGCAGAATCTTGTTTTTGTCATTTTAAACTTGACAGTTACAAGCTCTGTGCAAGAAAGATGTTACTCCTTCTGAATAAATGCAGTAGTCTTATTTGAAACCATGCATATGGAGGAAATGCTCTAGGCTTATTACTTAGCTGCTCAGTCTTCCTGTGTTAGACGTTAGTCATAATGGAAAAAAATACCCTGGATTGTTTTTTCTCTTGCAGTCATACCAGCAGAGAGACAAAATGGGAGGATCTCTTGGAAGCCAGTCAAACAAAGTCAGCTAACACACTATTAGTGTCCCGAGTTGGAGAAGCAATTATTTATACCTGGGAACTAATTTCCTGGCCTATTAGGAAAAAATATCTTAAAATTTCTTCTTTTCAGTAAAACCTAGAAAGTTAAATCTATTAACTAGAAGTGAAAGCCACTGACAAAAAAAAAAACCACTCAGGAAAAACATTCTTACCTGTGTTCCTATGGATGGGTACTGCCTTCCTGCCACTTCAGTGGTTTTCTTAATTGCTGCTAAGTTTATCTACTCCCTGTGATCCCTTGAAATTCTTCTCTCTTCCTGCTCCTCACTGCAATTTCTTTCCCTCCGTGGGCTGCAAGCTCCAGACTCTTTGGCATGGTTGCCCGGCTGTCCATACTCTGCAGTTTCTTCTCTGGGCAGATTGTGTAGCTTCCCCAGGGAAGAAGCAATCTTCCCTATCTTCAAAGATGCCCTATTAAGAGAATGTAACATACAACAGAAAATGATACTGTTTCTTGTTGTATTGTTAATAAATGGCAAACTGGATCCCATGCTTTAATAGTAATAATCTGCTCAAATTTAGATGATGGAGTGTAACCAGTGAGTCATTTCATGACAATGCTGTTCCTATAAACTTATTTTCATTTCCTCTAATATGATACAAATCCCAGTTTCTTGTAATCTAAATACAGGCTTGGCTACAAGACAGACATAACATCCACCACTAGATTTTTTTCTTCTGCTTCTGAACGAGTAAAATCCCATTTTAGGATTTGTTCTGTCAGATGAAAAAGTTGGAAAATCACTCTTATACTATGTCTTCTCTTGGAATTCTTGAGTTCTTTATTTCTGACCCTATTTCCTTACCCCAGAATTACAAGATGCAAAGCTTATATTTTATGAACCTTGGTATGTCATTTAATTATTGTATTTAAATGACCCTGAATGAAATTCGGTAGGATATATATGCAAAAGGCATCATGAGAAAGATAAATATTGCAGCAGACCGTATGGTAGTAGGTTGCTTTGCTGAAATGTGTGAGAGATTTCAGTCTTTACTCTTAGAAGCTGCATCTTGGACAAATGGTTTAGAGATAAATTCTGGGGTGTTTTTTTTTTTCAGAAAATGGTTCTCGAAATATGTTCCAATGAAAATTCTGTGAGTGAAAAGGATTAATTCAGACTTAAATATATATTAGCTATTCTTAATATTTCTTGAAGATCCATTAATAGAACCTAGCTTGAAATGATCCACAATTTCCTTTTTTTTGTGGTATTCTGTGGGTTTTTTACAGGCATTCTTTTTCCTTTGAGTGTGCTGGCATGAGTGTGTTGTGCTGTCCTCTTGTGTTGGAGTAGCAGGGGCTGCTTGAAATGGTTGACCACCAGTCTTGCTACAGCATAAGACATTTGGGGAAAAGTACTTAGCTTTTGCATTTATATCTCTTGTAATGAAATGTTGTTAACTCCCCAAAGTAATTAATTTTCATATAGATGGAAATAAGTCTTTAAATACTCTTCTGTGAGCCTGCCAAATGCTATTGTTGTGCAAACCATCGATTTAGTGTGAAGGAAGCATAAGGGACCATATCATACTGTAGTGTGTCAGATAGGAGCCTGAGCACAGGGCGTTTTCATCTTAAGCCTGGAAAGATAGATTGTTCATTTGGGAAAAGAAATAGTACTGAAAATAAAATTTATTTGGGACAGAATTTGAGATATTTATCTCATATTAGGCAACTTAATTCCTGAGATGGTTTAGAGTATCTTTTGTTTTTCCCTGCTGCTACTAAAGTGTTAGAAAAAGACTTTGAGAAACATCTTTACAAGGCAAATGATGTTTCCAACACTTGTTTTTAAAAAAAAAAAAAAAAGTATTGTGTTGTCCTTCTTCCCCAAATCATTAGCATAATGTAAGGATGATTAAAGTTTCTTTTTTTTTTTGTGGTGTAGTCTGCGTGAGTATGGATATGGATAAAGTAAAGAAATTTAACTTGCTTTCTACTGTAGTCTAACGATGTGTAAAATCTTACTGTTCATTCACAGCATCGTTCGCTCCAATAAGCTTTGCAATCAAGGCCAAAGAAAATGACCTTCTTCCTTTGGAGAAAAACCGTGTGAAATTAGATGATGACAGTGACGAGGAAGAAGAAGAGGGCAAGGAAGGCCAAGAGAATGCTAATAGTGCTTCAAATCATTCTCCAGCTGTTGCTGCTCCTTGTACTGCTGCTGAAGAGAAAAAGCCTCAACTTACACAGGAGGAGTTGGAAGCTAAACAAGGTATCCCATGTTACACTGAAAACAGAAAGATTGAGTCCTTCAGGCAAACTATAAGTATGGCATTTTAGGTATTTTCAATCTTTACTATGTCATGTTAACAGGAGTTAGAGGTCTTTTTCCCACAGTTTCCTGCTTATTATTAAGAATGAAATCTTCATTGGTTGCCCAGCTAAAATCAAATTTTATTACAGTGGAGCTGAATACTTTGCCCTAACGCATGATCTTTCTGAATTTTATTTTGTTTTTCCATTACAATCTCGAGGTAAAATACTAAACCTGTAGCTTCCAGATTGCATTAACAGAGCCCAGAAAAAGGCATGTCTGTTCCTCATTTTCTTCAGAGAACAATGAAACGCTTCAAGCTATTTTTCAGTTATATAGCACTCCCATATAGACTAATATCACCTTGTTGATGTTTTGTAACTCTTACAATGCAATGCCATTAAGTCTTTGTATGTTTTTTTCCTGTTACTGTGTTTATGTACGTAAGGGCAGAAGTGTATGCTGTGTGAATTTGAATGAAATGATCTTTTAAAGGGATCAAATTTCCCCCATTCCTTCCTAAGGCTGTTTTACAGCAGAAATACCAGCTTAAAAACTTAGTATTTCTTTTACAACTATGAGTATGCCGCAGGAATTCAATTTTTCATTTTCAAAATGGGGTTTTTTGCTCTTAAGTATCAGTTCCTTTGTAAACTTCAGTAGCACAGAGTATGCTGTGGTGATATGTATCTAAAGCAAATATGAAATATTTTTATATGATAAAAATTAAACGTAAAACATGTTTGGAAAAGGTTAAGTGTTGGAAAAACTGTTTAATCAAAAAAACAGTTGTCTTGTACATGCACAGAACACAAAAATGGAAGTGTAAGATGAAAGCTTAAACAAAATATCCGTTAGATGCATAAACTGGTTTATTCTCTTTCTGTAATCACATAACAGTAACTGTTGGGTGTAATAATGGTAAACAAGTTCTGAAAACTCTGAAGCAGCCCTTTGTGTAAACATTTTAAGATGTATGTAAATAGGGCTGGAAAATGTAAGGTAAAGATCAGATCTGTTAAAAGATCAAAATGGAGTTTGCATCACTTTAACAGGAAAAAGTTTCTGAATTTACAGTACTACTTTTTTACATAGCTTTTTGTAAATAGAGAAGGACAAGTGTCCTGGATTTTCAGGACTGGATTTTCATGTCATTTTCTTTAAGCTTAAAATTTTTTACTTAACCTGTACTGCTTTTCATCAAGCAAATGGTATTGCTATGAATTAAGATGCTTGGAATTTTGTAATTTAAGCTGATATGTCCTTATTATGTCTTTGAATGGATGTATTAGAGAAGTTTGAGAATGGTTAGATGGGCTGTTTGGTTGTTTGTGTTGGTGTGTGTGTTTGTTTCAAGGAAACGTAAGTTCCCCAAGCGTGACTCACTCTATGCTTAATTGTCTTTCTTAGCAAAGCAGAAACTCGAGGATAGATTAGCAGCTGCAGCAAGAGAGAAGCTTGCACAGGCCTCCAAAGAATCTAAAGAAAAGCAGCTACAAGCAGAGCGCAAAAGGAAAGCTGCACTGTTCTTACAGACACTGAAAAACCCTCTGGCAGAGGCAGAAACTGAGAAAATTGAAGAGAATTCCTTCAGTAACGAGGTAAGCAGCAAATTAATTTCTCTTTACTATAAAGCTAGCAGAAAACGTACCTATAGAGTGTGAATCTGACAGTATGTTATGAAATTGCCTGAAGAGATAGAAGCTTTTCTAAATGGGGAGAAATTTTACTTTTAAACACTGATAATATTTTTCATTTGTTACTTACATGTCTCATCTGTCATTGAAGAACTGGTAGAGAAATATGATGCATAATTCAAAGGTCAGTTAGCCAGTTACAGAAAGGAAAATGAGCCTGCAAGCTTAACCCTGTACTAGTGGTCCATGAATTAGAATGCTTACCTTTCAAGAGTGTTTGGGTATCCATTGTGATATTTAGTGAGTATTCTGAAGTGAGTAAACATCTTCAAATTCAGAAATGATTCATAGGCAACTGAGCTTACTTTAAGGCTTACTTTGCACCTGTTCTGCTGGGTTTTGTTTGATTTTTAGGCCTAAGTTTAGTATGGCAGTTACAAAAGATTTTGTTTTATTGTGAGGATGTGATTTTTAAAATAAGGTAAATTTACAGATAGTGGCACAAAATTCAAACAAATATGTATATGCATGCTATTCACTGAGCATAGTCAATGAAGAGTCAAAACAAAAAACTCAGGGTGAAATAATTGAATAAACTCACTGTGAAATAATTGAGGGTCTAATTACTCTGCTAGCTGTTTTCCAGAGAACTGGAAGTAGGCACACTGCCTCTGCTTGTGCCTACTTGATTATGAAATGACCATTGGGTTTGTTTGGCAAAATATCTTATTTTGGAGAGTAGAAGCAAGTATCTTTCTGTAGCAAATAAATTTGTAGTGTTAGTACTCCCGTACTTTCTTTCAAAGAACGATTTTTAATAGTTGTGATAGAAATTCAAACCCTCTGCTTCTTTCTAGAAAACTACTGGAAGATAGTCATGTGGCAAAGGCAGACTGCTTTCTGTCTTCTTTTTGCCTTGTAATTCTCTTGTCCATTTGCACCCATTTTTGTGGTTTGGATAGTCAACCACAATAGGTAGTACTAGGGTAATGTCATTTTGAGGGCTTTCAGAAGCTCTGGTTTGAGTAGGTCATCATGATATTGCATTCTTAAGACAAATCTAAGAGTAACCTGGGTACTGATGACTTACTAAGTTTTAAGAACACAATGAAATTGCTAGTAAGGTCGCTTGCCATTTGGCGGTTTGGACTGTTGTTTCCAAAGGAAATTAAAAGCTGATTTCTCAGGGCTGTACATTGGATTACTAGATTTATCACAAAGAGGAAAAAGAGGATTTATCATGCAGAATTAATTGCTAATCAGTTAGTTGGCATTATCTTCTGCAGTGAACAGAACTAGTCAGTCTGTTGATGAGTAGTTATGATAAAAACATCATTTGGGTAGAGCCTCTAGAAATTGGTTTTGTAAGAATTTTTGAGTAGGCAAAGTTAAACAGGAATCTTTGGCCAAAAGACTTTAGTAATGAAACCAGTAATGAAATTTAAAAACAAACTCTAAAACCTGTGTTGTTCAAAGCCACCCATTTGCTTATTTTCCTACTAATAAACAGAAAATGCTGCTTAAAATACCAAATAAATAAGGTGTTTCACATAAGCCATTTCTGATGTCAATAAAATAACTACAATTTAAAAAGTCTGCATGAGGAAGTTGAATTTATTCTACAGGAAAATTCTTCAAATATTCATTTGTTCATGCATTGTAGTGCTGTCCTGAAGCTTTTCTCTCAATCTGCAGGTTTTGGCAGGTTTTCTCTGTCTGCAGATTTTCTGTTGAAGAGTCATTTTCCCATTTACATTGTATATTTTTCCATTTAATTCCTAATTGCTGAACTTCATCCAAATAGGATAATAGGCTATTTTCCTACTTGGTTTCTTTTCTTTCTTTTTTCTTTTCCCCTTGTTCTAGCTTTTTCACTGAGCCACTCCCTCTTTATGCCACTATAGTGATTGTCCTAACTTAAGAAGTGGTAATTTTACTTTCAGGATCATCACTCATTTTTATTCAACCTAAGCATTTTATCATAAGTGCATCCCAATCCAGTGTGACCTGATGCGTGCTTGCTAAAAGATGGGGGAGTCTGCGTTTCCAGTACCTGCACGGACGCCTCCCAACAAGTCCAAACAATCTCTTTTCATAATGGAAGAAAAATTGTCAAAATCCATTTTCAGCAAAGTCACTTTAGGCTTATGTCTTCAGTGCAATAGCTGTAAAGAGCTGTGGGGAGAAATCAGGAATAGGATTTGGTATAGACTATGTAGTTTCTTGAAACTTAACCTAAATAGGGCTGGAAATATATGCATCTTGGTGTATTGTTGCAGGATCCTTCAAAAGCCAGATTGAAATTACTTTGTGTGTCTGTATATGCTGTGGTCAGACCTTTTATGCACATAGCAAATAACAGATACTGTTGGAAAGTGAAAATTCAGATTCCTGGCTTTGGAATTATACTGCTTCCAGAAGAGCCAGCAAATCACTCTTGGTTGCACTAATCAAGCAAAACTTCATCTCTGGATATTGATAGAAAATTTCAGATCTTGATTGCGATAGACTGGTTACAAGAATGAGTGACATGGCTTTCCATTGTTCCCTTTCCCACAGAAAGAGGTCCAGTACCTAACAAGTAATTTATTGCCCGGTTCTTGATTTTTATTTTTTTTTCCAGATAAATCATTGATTACACCTCAAAACACTTTCAAGAGAATAGACAATGGAAAGAGACATACTTGCAGTTTAGGCGATCTGTATCAGCAGAGTAGCAGATATGTGCATTGAGCGTGGTCACATCCCAAAAGAGATCCTGTTTGGGATCCTCATTGCTACTGCTAACAAATTTTCCCCAACTGGCGCACGTGTTCAGTACTTTCTTCCAGTTATATATTGGGGAGTGAATGCAGAGAGACAATGACAGTGCAAACTCCCCAGACTTGCAGTTCTGCTGTCCTTCTCAAGCGGATTTTCAAGGACGAAGATATTTCTATGCTAAGGTTTTTCTGATAATTTTCTTTGATAATGCCTGAAATAACCAGTAACTCTTCAATAACAGCTGTCTCTCTTTTCATAAGAGCAGATGAATATCATCACAGAATCATAGAATGGTTTGGTTTGGAAGGGACCTTAAAGATCGTCTAGTTCCAACCTCCTGCCATGGGCAGGGACACCTTCCACTAGCCCAGGTTGCCCAAAGCCCCGTCCAGCCTGGCCTGGACAGGGAGGGGGCAGCCACAGCTTCTCTGGGCAACCTGTGCCAGGGCCTCACCACCCGCACAGGGGAGAATTTCTTCCTTAGATCTAATCTAAATCTGTTCTCTTTCAGTTTAAAACAAGTACCCCTTGTCCTGTCCCTACACTCCCTGATCAAGAGTCCCTCCCCAGCTTTCCTGTAGCCCCTTTAATGAGGCCTTTTGGCTCCTTTATCCCTTGGAGAAGGAAGTTGTCATCAACACATTCCAGGAACCTCCTGGATTGCCTATGCCCTGCTGTGTTGTCCCTCCAACAGATACTGGGGTGGTTGATGCCCTGCATGAGGACCAGGGCTTGTGAACATGAGGCTGCTCCTCTCTGTCTGTAGAGGGCCTCATCTTCTCAGTCTTCCTGGCTGGGTGGCCTGTAGCAGACGCCCACTATAATGTCTCCTGTCCCTGCCTTCCCTTTAATGCTGACCCAGAAGCTCTCTGTCGGCTCCTCACCCACCCCCAGGCAGAGGTCCCTGCACTCCAGCTGGTCACTGATAGGGAGGGCAACACCCCCTCCTCCTCTCCCCTGCCTGTCCTTCCTGAAGAGCCTCACTCACATCTGTATTTACTGAAGTTCTAAGCTGAACTAACTAAAAAAACAAGTGAACTTTTCAAGAAAAACCACACCCTAATCCCACTTCTCAGTAAACTGATTTGCTAAAAACATTTTTCTTTTTCTGACATATAAGTACAGTTTCAGAGAAGGCATCTCTTTTTGTCATGTAAAAAATCCACTGTATTTAAGTATTTCAAAGTAACCAGTTTTCCTGCTTCTTACCAATAGAAATGGTTTGGATGTGCTTTCTTTATATTTAGAATGTAAAATACGTATTTAAATGTTACTGATGTGACCTTGCTTTTTGAAATAAATTTGACTCGTGTTGGGAATGCTAGTTACTGTGTTAATGAAAGTCTAAAATGTCATAATGTCTGTGGAAGTAATATTCCACCTAAGTGTAATTTGCTTATTGACACACTTACATATATTTATATATAGATGCATATAGAATTTTGCGTATAAATGTTCGAAGCATGAATGTTTTTCAAGCTGCTGTCTTTCCATTTGGCGTATTTGAAAAAGCTTCCATCTATGTTTGTTCCAATGTTTCATCTGCCTTTTGTTCTACTTGCCTGGTTTGCCTATTCATAACATCCCATTTGATTCAAGAAATTTTACTAGAAAAGGATAAGTGAAATCTTACTGTGACTTTGTTAACCTTTGTTATATATACACCGAGAATCCAGTAAGCTGCATCATGATGTCTAAATTAGTTTATAAATAAATACCTAGTAACTGTCTTTTTTAAACTTTTTCAGTCATGTTTCAGAAACTGAAAGATGCATTTAAAAACACTGATTGCAAAAGTAACAAGAACTAACTACAGTGGCTGTAATTTAAAAACAAAAGTATATTAAAAATGTCAAGAGATCTGTAAAATTCGTTTTGTAGATTGGACAGTGGAACTAATTGGGGAAATTTCAGAAAGCAAAGGAAAAAAATTAAGTACACCAAAAATATCACTTAATATATTTCATCTCCTATTTTGGGGGAAGACGGATCTAGTGAGGAATCCAGGAAACAAAGGTTGATATGCAGTGGTCATAGAGTTAATGTAGTGGAATGATTTTTGTAGCTAAAAATGGAGTAGTGACTGAGATGTATAATAAAGCATGAAGTGGAGTTGAGAATGTCCATGGGAAATGCCTGATTCTCATGAGATTGCCCCTGCCTAATAACTGTATAAAAACTAGTAATGCTATTTATTTGTA